AGTTATTTGGAGGGGAATGTTCGAAGATTCAGCAGGGTTGCTGCCCCTAATCCGCCATCTTGGCTCTGCCAGGTCTCTTGCTTTAGAAAGTGGTTAGCTCTTCAAAAATGATGAGGTAAAAAGATTTCAGTGTAGAACCTGCTTTCCAAATGGATATTTTGAAAGACTGGTGAGGTTTCTCATTCAGCAGAATCTAAAGACTTCAGACTAAGACATTAAGAAATTATTATTTTGAACCTCAAGAGCATATGGAAGTGATTATTGATAAATCAAAAGAAATTAATAAAAAGATAATAAAAAAAGAAATTAAAAAAAGAAATTATGATTTTGTAATATTTTCAAAAGGAGAAAGGGAAGGGATTAGTATGGTTCTATACCTCCAGATGGGTCTTATAAAATGACTAAGATTCAACAGTGGAATCAAAGCACCTCCTATGGGCAACAGCTCCATGAACTCAGTCGATGATATTTTGAAAAGAAGCAACAAACAAAGAGCCGCAGACTTACGGAAACAGAACGGTTTCTGATGGCAATTTGGGACCAGGTCATCGTTATTAGAAATTACACAAGCGTTGCCCTTAAGGAACCTAGACTTAGTTATCTGCAGAGAGGGCAGGCAGGTCTGTAATCAGGAACACCTGAGTTCAAATCCAGCCTCAGACATTTACTGTGTAACCCTGGGCAAGTCCTGGAGATAATGATAGCACCTACCTCCCAGCACTGTTGTGAGGATCAAATGACGTAATAATTGTAAAGTGCTTAGCACAGTCCCTGGCATATAGTAAGTGCTATATAAACTTTAACTATCATTATTATTATTTTTATTATTATTATTATTATTATAAAATGAGAAAAAATAGAGAGGAGAGAACAAGACTCATGACAGAACCTTGGGGAACACCCACAATTAGGGTACATGACATAGAGATGAAGAGCCAGCAAAGCAGACTGAAAAGAAGCGGTCAGACAGTGGAAGAGAACCAGGAGAGAGCAGTATCATTAAAACTCAAAAGAAAAAAATGTTCCTTTGGAACCCTAATGTCATCAGGGGTCATAGAGGGAGCAAAAAAAAAAAAGTATCTGCAAATGTTTTGTTATGTTCCAGTGATACTGAGAGAAGAAATAAAAGGGAAGGAAAAAGGAAAACCCAGAGAGAGCATTTAGGAGAAGAGGGTGGTCAACACTGTTGTGCTCAACAGAGAAGTTAAGAGGGATGAGGACTAAAAGAAGACCATAAAATATGGCAGTTTGGAGATGATTGGTAACTTTGGAGACAGCAATTTTAGTTAAGTGATAAAGAGAAGAGAAAATGGAGTCAAGGAGTTCAGGCAGCTTTTTCTAAGAGTCTGGTTGAAAATGGGAAGAGATTCAGAATGATAAGTAAACAGGATGCTAGGGTCTAGTGAAGGCTTAGACTTGGAGATGTTTGAAAGCAATAGAGGAGGATCCAGTAGAAAGAAGTTGGGGAGCTTAGATTCTTAAAATCTAGCCACTGCTCAGATTCATATAATCTAGCCAATAGCTTACTAATGTTTAGACTCCTTAAGAGTCTGTCCAATACAATGGATGTTCTAATAAATCTTGTCTTTGGCTGAAAGAAGGCTTGGGTCGAATTCTTTCAGGTAGGTCCTGCATATTGTGATTTTTGGGGTCCCAGCACTCCCAAACCCCTAAACCTCAACGTTTTGGTGGCCCATACAGGGAAACTGCCTAACCCCAAGTTCTTCTCCAGCCAAGACTGGAAGGTATGTAAGCCTCTTCTCCCCCTCCTTTCTTGCTCTGCAGTTGGGGTCACTCTCCAAGCACCAAGGCTTGGAGGTGCTTTTCGGGCAGTTAGGAGGCTGTCTTGCACTCAGCCTGATGCTCTCAGGTTCTTGGTCCACTGGGTCAGTTCAAGGCCATGGACCCGGGTACACCTTCCACAGCATAGAAGGATGCCCTATCCGGAAGTGTGTGCCCAATTCTGTCCATTCTCTCAGTGCTAGGGAATTGGGGAAAACTGCAGTTGCTTTTTGGTTCCCTGAGGCTTACTTACTCCCTTCCCTCTGCACCTCTGAATCCTCCTTCATGGAGGTTATAGGGAAAAGTTAGAACAGCTAAAAATATCTTGGCAGATTCTGGAGGTTTTGTGATTGATCATTATGGAGTTTTGAAACTCCTCCTTACAACCCTGGTCACTCCTTTCTCCCACTCCCTTCCCTTGAATCAAGAGGGTATCTGTTAACCCCTCTCATAGGAGAAGAGAGTTTCACCCTTTCTCCCTCACCTTTGATTTTGCCCTCCCCCACCTGGGGAAAGGAAGGAGGGGGGAGGGGCAGCAGCTATAGCATGGGCCCTAGTGGCAATGGCCTTGGAGCCTGGGGCAACCTTTGCCTGGAAGCATCATCCAGGTTCAGCACATCCTGCTCAAGGTAAAGAAGCTGGCCTCTGAACTTTGGTAAGCACGCTCTTTTAAAGTTGAAGTTTTAATTGTTAATGATAAGATGTTGATTCTCTGTGTAAAGTAATTTGGAAATGAATTTAACAACCCGATGATACAAGGGGCAGCTAGGTGGCGCAGTGGACAGAGCACTGGCCCTGGAGTCAGGAGGACCTGAGTTCAAATGTGGCCTCAGACACATGACACTCACTAGCTGTGTGACCCTAGGCCAGTCACTTAACTCCAATTGCCTCACCCCCGCCAAAAAAAGTGCTTACTGAGATAAGCCTCGTACTCAGTGATCATTTTTTGTGGGCTGCCAACTGCTCTTTCCCCAGTGGCAGAGACTTAACATCTGCTTTCAAAGAGACTTTCTTGATAGGGAATACTATTAGGACATGAGCTTTCCTGATGGATCATGTCAAAATGATTCTTTACGCCCTGACCAGGCTCCTGCCTGTCCCATTCCTCACAAATAGTCAGCCACTCTTTGCTGGGAAATTTCCAGTGAGAGGGGACCTAACACCTGCCCAGGCAGCCCTTTCTACTTCTGTAGAGTCATATTTGTTTGGAGGTTTTTACTCACTTAGAGCCTTAATTTGCGTCTTTGCAATTTCCATCCACTATCGCCAGTTTTGTCCTTCGGGGCCAAAGCAAAAAGGTCTAATCTCTCTTCTACTTCCCAATCCTTCAAATACTTGAAAACAGCTAACACGTCCCCCTAAATCTTCTCTTCCTTGACTAATCAGCTGACTGGACTGGCCTAGGGGAGCTGGTCCTTAAAGCATACCTAGATATTCTGGATCTGGTTTCAGGCCTTGAAGTATGCACAGAGCTCTGCCTGGACTCGGTCCTTAGAGCATGTGAGGATACTTACCGCATGATTCTTATGCAACCACATGGGAGCTTTGGGGAACTGGTTTCCAGCCATCAGTGACAGAAACAGTTGGTACTGCGTGACGACAAAAAGTTTTCTAATCAGCTGAAGAGCCAGAAAAACTAATGACTCAGGAGCTGCTGAGCCAGAACTGGCTGCACATAAGTAAGACATGAAACGCCCCTTTCTCAAGTGTCTCCTTTGACAGCTCCAAGTGAGAAGAATTGCTTTGAGCTGATGGCAAATTCCTTCACCTGGCCACCATGAGTCCACGTGCATATGGCACTTCGGATGCTACTGTGTTTATTGATATTAAGAAAATGTGTATTTTGAGATGGGCATTTCAAGCGAGTCTCAGTGATCAAGAGTGGCAGCGGCGGTTGTGGTAATTAGCAGAGAAGTCTCTACAGATGGCTAAGCTAGGATAGTTGTCCAAGGGTAGCAACAACTTCAGGGAGGGAGATCCTTTGGGAAAGAAAGGAGTGCCAACTGTGGACCCACAGACGTGGCAGAAGCCATATCTAAGGAGAGAGCCCCTCCTCAAAGGGAGGAACTGAGAGATGCCCATTTGACACTGATTCCTGACCCATGTGTCTCACCACAACCGTACTTTCATTTGGTGCCCTCTTTCCCCAGGGAATTTGTGTGGGTGGGGGAGAGGATACTCCCGGGTTGAGGAGAATGTTTGCACCAAACTGCTTTTGCTTTACTTTCTCAGTAAATATCTTCTCTAAAAGGTATTCAATGAGTTCATTGTGAGCAGGGAGCACAGCAGTGGAGCCCTTTCCTTACATGACAGAATCCTGAGAGTACCAACAGCATCCACTCTTTAGGGGTGGAAATTCGAGAAATGTCATGAAGGTAGAAATGACAAGATTTGGCAAGTGACTGGTAGAGGAGGGTCCAGTAGAGGAGAATAAGGAGTGGAGGCCAACACTGAGAGTGCAACCAGGGGGGAATTATGGAAATGGCTGTACCTTCCACAGGGCAGTTGGAAGAGGGGTTTTTTTAGGTCTAGGACCAGCTGAGTTTGAGATGTCTCAGGGACATCTAGTCTGAAATGTCCAGTAGACAATTGCTGATGTAAGACTGGAGCTCAGAGGAAAGATGAGGGCTAGAAAGGCAGACCTAAGAATCATCTGCAGAGATAGGATAGTGAAATCCGTGAAAGCCACTGCAAAAAAGACATGGAAGATCAGCAACGGAGTCTTCTGTGTGTCAAGGACGGCTGAAGCAGAAAACCACGGACCCTTTCTCAAAGTAAGGCTTTAACATGCACAAAATATAACACAGGATTACAAGGAAAGCCAATTATATTGAAATACAGTTAACAAAATACCTTTTAAAAAACAAGTTCCCATAGCCCAGGTGAAGAACTCTTGAGAGAGAGAGAGAGAGAGAGAGAGAGAGGGCTAGGACTGAGCCCTGAGGAACACTCACAGTCAGGGGGAGTCATACAACCAACAGGCTGGAAGAGGAAGATGAGGAGGACTAGGAGACACTAGGGTCACAAAGACCCAGAGAGAAGAGAATGGGCAGCAGTGTCAAATGTAGCTGCTAAGTGGAAAAGAAGGAGAGAATTCTTCATCTCTTCTCAAGGGTAAAGACTGGTCATTATAATTACACCTACTACTGCACTTTTTTTAAAAAAAGTAAACACGAAACCATCAAGAAAGAGTTTATAGAAGAACTTCCCACACTTGCCTCAAATTTTATCTGGAAGGATGCCAACCCTGTCAGGTCCTGGGCACAGCGAGCTTCCTCTGAAGGCCAAGTCAGCTTCCCAGAGAATCCTGACAGCAGTGACTGAATTCCTGTACAAGAAGAAATGATAAAATAGAAAAAAGTTTGGCTGAAGGCCAGAGTTTCAGGGTAGGCCTCTATAACATCAGTGAAAAGTCCTCCCTAATGGGAAGGGATAATATGCACATTTTTACCATGATTTGCAAAATGACTGCATCAGCATATTGTCACAATGTTGATACTTCCTTTATAGCAGCATTTATTTAATCAATTTCTATTTTCAGTTAATGGCTACAAGGTCATGTCCCAGTGCCAGAAATCGTAAGAGCTGATGACTGAAAGGCTGATTCACTTGAATTAATTTGTTACTGAATAACCACCAATTATACTAGTAAGCTACCCAAATTTAATGCTTTTAAGTTGGGAAATCTGAGCAACAGTAAGGATGCCCCCAGATACTACGCTTAGAGTACATTCGGTGATGGTGAAGTCCTTGATGAGTAATCTTTTCTTCTTTTTGTGGATTATCCGCTTTATTGACTGGCTCCTCTTCTTAGAGCTCAGCTTGGCCCTGGGTGACCAGTGGAAGGCAGGATCAAGCCAAGAGCATCAGAAAAAGAGAGGACAGGTCCTTAATTTCTAAAACTAAATGTAAATGATTTCACTATCCATTTTTTATATTTTCCATGCTTTTTCTCCTTTCCATTAGCACAGATAATTGATTGGATTATATATGCAACTTGGCATCTGCAATTTTAAAAAGTTAATGAATCTGAGAACTATGATGATGTCATAATACATTAATGAACTTTTAGTAATCAAGTAGCAATAAAATTTACTTTGGATTTGCAGTACACCTTTCTCATGAAGAACTCAAAACAACCTAATAAATCCTCACCATTTCAAGGAAATATAGATATGGCAAGAGCTATATTTCAATTTTAGACACATTTATTAAGTTCCTACTACGTACAAGGAGGGCTGCCAGGTGATGCTGCAGTGCATAGCGCACTGGGCCTGGAGTCAGGAAGACTCAAGGATTCAAATCTAGTCTCAGATACTTACTAGTTGCGTGACTCTGTCACTTACTTCACCCTGTTTGCCTCAGTTTCCTCATCTGTAAAATGAGCTAGAGAAAGAATTGGCAAACCACTCCAGTATCTTTGCCAAGAAAACCCCAAGTGGGGTCATAAAGAGTTGGACACAACTGAAACAACCGAATGTACAAGGAACTGTTTAAGGCGGTGGGATACAAAGGCAAAATAACACATAGTTCCTGCCTTTGGGGAAAAATTAATCTCATAGGGATAAATTTTACTTTTCTTATAACTGGATTTTTTTTATCCTAATCCAACATGTGAGAAAGAGGAGTAGGATTAGAGCAGATTGAGACAGAAGTTAATGGGTCTAGATGAGAAGTAAGTACATTCTTAGCTTTATCACTGACTCACTTTCTGACCTTAGGCAAAATTTTACGATTGAATTTGCCTCACCTATAAAATGTGGAAGCTCATTTCTGATTCTTCCTTCTCTATAAAGGCAGGATGCCAAGTTAGGGATGAAAAAGTTTTCTGAAAATATTTTTAAAGAACTCTGAACTTAAATGTTAAACTAAAAATATTTTTCACTGAATGATTCAAATACTCAAAGAAAATTAGGATGTGAAGTGTTGAACAAACAGCCAAGTCCAGACTATTTAGCCAAACACGCAAGGTCTCAACTGGTAATATCTCCCTTTCCACATTCATTAAACAGTTGGAAAAAGGGATAAGGCATGAGAAAGGGGATGAAAAGATAGGGTAGGAATAACAATCTTTATTTTTTTTCTTGAGATGACTCTTCAATAGCAGATAGAAATTTAATCATCATTAATAAAAACCAAAGAAATGGAATCAGAAGAGTGACATATACAATGATTATAATTATTTAAAAGCAACAATGAAACCCGAGGGTGAAAAAAGATATCAGGAGACAATAAATAAGCTGTTACGTTATTTTGCCAAAGTTTATATTATTTTCTTTTAAAAATGTAAACAGATCAGAATGTGGTTTTATTCTTTATCTTATTTATATTTGTTGTTTGTTACACTTACAATAAAAATTGTTTAAATTTTTAAAATCTTATCATCACCATCTAGTTTTCCTCTAACTTTCCCAAAACCGAATCACTTGTCTCCAAGACATACTGTATCAGCAAGAGTTTTTTGGTCTGGGTTTTTTTGTTTTGTTTTGTTTTTGTTTTTTTAGGAAAACAAGGAGAGTCTCTGAACACAAACCAAGCTCAATTAGGGTACAGAGAAAATATAGAAGTGAACTAAATATACTGTGAATTCTGGGTCTTTGTATCCAATGGACATGCCGCTTTGCCTTTTCGAGAGTAAAGAACTGTGTCGGGGACATGCCAGGCATTCAAAGGACGCTCACAATGGTTCTTTGCTTCTCAAGGAAGCTCCCCAGTGATGCTCTCATCCAAGTACAGAGGAGAGATGGCTGCATTTAAAGACGGAGGACTCGGCGTTGGTTATTGGCTCTGCCATGTACTAACTATCTGTCTGAGTCACCCTCTGTGAGCCTCCATTTCTTCATCTGTAAAATGAGTAAGATTAGATGACCTCTTGAGTTCCTTCTAATTCTAAATAGATGCTACTATGACCCCCTTACCAGAGGATTCTAGTGCATCCCTGGGAGCACTGGGAAAGGAAAAGAGAAAAGAGCTATTCAGGACCACTGATGCCCAAACCTGTTCATTTATTCCCACTCACCCCTCTGAGTTGCAAGTATATGCATTCTCACTGCAATAGAACTGCAAGATAGCATTTCAACAGCTACACTGAGATGAAGCCATTATGATGTCATGCCCAGGAAATTATCATCTGCCCAATAACAATAACAGAAGTCTGACTCAGGGCCTACACCCGATTAACACACATGGCTGGTTTCTTCCCAAAATGTAGCACGCAGGACCTCTGTGGTCTTCCCTGGGCTGACCATCTGTCCCTCAAACAACAGGACAAATCATCATATTATATCAGCAGAAAGACCCGCAGCTTCTGTTCCTTTAGGAGAATGGCCCTGCTGAAGATCACAAAGCAGTTTGGTCAGCTCTGTAGGCTAATGCCACTGACCAAGCAGGCTAATTACTGTCTTTACGCTTAGGCATCAATTCTACTGTGTAAAACAACCCTAGATATGCATCAGAGGAGAAGAAAGGAGTCTGGATAGTTTGGCCCAATGGGCGGGAACCTTCTGAAGAAGTCTGCCAAATCTTCATTCTTTCATTCCGTTCCAGGGTGGAGTGGAGGGAGGGTCCAGTGGATTGGCAGAGGCTCTCTCTCAGGAGACTGTCAGAAGGAACAGAGACAGTGGCTGGGAAGCCGCTGGATTGTCCTAGCCAAGCTCAAGTGGGGAGGACCAGGGGCACAATCCACATAGCAGATGCCTGCCAGTGCAGACATCGCGGGCCCTTTGTGTGAACAAATGGTCAGGTGGGGCAAGGGGAGGTGCTCCTTCTCCAAGCCTGTTCTATTAACTTTTGTACGTCCGCAGCCTACATGCTTCCCACAAATGTACACGAATACACGCTTGCTTGCATGCATGTGTATGTACACACACACACACACACACACACACACACACACACACACACACACA